TACAACCACCCTGAAATTTGTAATTTTCTTCCTATAACTGTCTAAGATCAAAGAAGTAATCAAAATTATAATTGCAAAGTATTTAGAAATTATTATAATTAAAACAATAAATATTAGAAATTAAAAGCAGAGAAAAATACCTACCCTTGCATATCTATATAACTAGCAGGAAAGAATAAAAACAAAAGAATTTAGCTACTCAAGACCAAAAGTTAGAAAATAATAACAAAATAAACCTAAGAAAAGGAAGAAAATAATAAAGATAAAAGCAAAATTAATTAATTAGGAAACAAAGTGGGTAAATAGATTGAAAATAAGTAACTAAGAGTGAAGTCATCTATAAGTAACTTGCTAATGAACCTGGTCACCAAAAGGAAAAAACACAATATTAAAATTTGAAAATGAAGAATAACCAAAAACAGAGAGGAACATAAAACTACCCAAAGAAAGTATGGTGCACACTACAAATAAATTGGAAATTTTTCCTGATATTGAGGATTGTATTGAAAAACAGAATTCCCAGGATTGACTCCAGTCATAGAAAGTAGCACATATTTACACATTCGCTTCCTAGAAGCAATCACAAGAAATTGATACCAATTACTTCTTTGGGAAAGAAACTTGCAGGGGAAGGAGAGAAGTTCCTTTTTTGTTTCATTCCTTTCTGAACTATCTGTATGTCCATATTTGATTTTTTTAAAAATATGGGCTTATTGGGAAATTAGATTATATATTTATTTGTAGTAAGACAAATGGAGAAAAACAAAGAATAGTGGCTCACACCTGTAATTCCAGCACTTTGAGAGGCCGACACGGGCGGATCACAAGGTCAGGAGATAGAGACCATCCTGGCTAACACAGTGAAACTCCGTCTCTACTAAAAATACAAAAAAATATATTAGCCCGGTGTGGTGGCGGGTGCCTGTAGTCCCAGCTACTCGGGAGGCTGAGGCAGGAGAATTGCTTGATTCGAGGACGCGGAGGTTGCCATGAGCTGAGATCGTGCCACTGCACTCCAGCCTGGGCAACAGAGTGAGACTCTGTCTCAAAAAAATAATAAATAAATAAATAAAAATAAAGAATAAAAGGTACAATCATGAGTAGAACACAAAGGCTGATGATCAAACAGTCCAGCCAGAGTGATGATGGGTGGAGGCTGGAAGAAACAGACCCAGAGACTTTGTGCTGGGCAACATCTGTTTCTACACCTGCCTGGCTACCCCATGGACTATCACTCAGAGTTCCAAAGTATACCATGTTGGTATATGTATTTGTTTTTCAATATTTACTTAGATTTATTTTGGAAAAATATCCAGTATATCCAACTATTTAACAAAATTGAGGATTAAAACTATTTGATTTGGTGCTATTTTTGGACATGCATATTACACCAACAGAATAGCTGCTGATGCAAACCTGTTTGTTCCCTCTAGACAAGGAGATTAGAAAGGGTAGGTAGGTTCCTCCTTAAGAAAGAAGCAAGTAAGTTGAAATACAATTTGTTTTGTTTCTTGTATTTGAAAGTGCAGTTTAAACAAGCCAAATAGATACCATATGGCCTTCAGTAATTTGACATTGAAGAACAATGTATGATTTATATTCTATTTCCAGCTACTGCACAGTGAGTGTGCTGTGATACCATGTTTTTAAATTCCTCTCTGCCTTTGCCCTTGTTGTCTCTTAGAGGCATTACATTTATTTATTCACTTATTCATTTCTTCTCTTTTTTTAACCAGTGAACTCCAAAACAGATTGAAACTAAAAATAAATAAATAAATAAGTTCAAATTAAAATTTCTCCATTTTAGTGACCTCACTGAAGCTGTGTCATTATCCAGGGTAAATACGCAAGGTTTGTCTCTCCCCCAAGAAGATTAAGGGGACACACAGCGGGAGGGAGTTTAGGAGTGGAGGTTTACTAGCTAAAAGAAAGAGAAAGGAGAATAGCTCTCTCTCTCTTGTGAGACACAGGGGCTCCTGAAAGGGAAAAACCAGCCTGTGGCATACTGCACCAGATTTTATAGGCAGACTTGAAGAGGCAGTGTCTGATTTACTAGGGCCCACAGATTGGTTGGACCAGGTGTGACATTTACACAGTGCACAAGGAAGGCTGGCCAGCCCACCCTAATCTTATTATGCAAATCGGCTTTTCATTTGGCTGGGGCCATCTTGTCTGCTCCTTACTGTACGCATAGCTGGCAAAAGAAGGGAACATGGAGTCACCATTTTGAACATGCCTAGTCCCAGGTAGACTTTTCCTCTTGGCACAACTACTGGCATTCACTTGTGCAAGTTTCCAGCTTGCTTGTCTATGTCTGCAGCTCGATTTTACAGGCTGCTCTTTGTTAGAAAATAAAATGATTTGGGGGCTGGTTTTCATTAAAAGGAAAACTTTACCAAGGATTTCCATACCCTCACTATCTGCCTACATAATTTTTTCTTAACTCCTATATCATCACCACCTCTATGAGTTAATATTGTTTTGTTCACACTCCTAAGTATAGCATTATTTTGTATTGTGATAGTATATATAGCCCTGACTCCCCTACTAAACCCCCAGCTTCACAAGGTCAGGGCCATGTTTCATTGTTTTAGAAATCTGTAACACCTAGCATGTTCTAGATTATTTTTAAGTGTTAAGAGAATTGCATTAAAAATTAAATACTTAAATATTTTTAGATCAAAGCATCAAGGTTAATATCTTTGTAAGGGTTCTATTATGAGTGGTAATTAGATTTTCCCATTAAGTTTGAAGAACGTCAGTTTCACAATGCAGACTACTAACCACTATATGATCACAGCTGAAGGAAGCCAGTTTCAAATATCACGGTCATCCCTCATTTTATCTACAACATGGATATATATGACCACATTTGGGTTCCCAATAAGTAGTGAGAGACACAGAAGCATTTAATATTGCCAAAAAAAAAGAATCGTACCATGGCCATACTGATCTGTCTGTCTGTCATGATAACTAGTGCGGCTGTCTTTGATAACCAGTAGGAATAAGGAATTCCCTACAAGTACATAGTACTTAAACTAATATTTGAATAACCTACTTCAACATGAATTTTCAGTGCTCTTGGATGGCTAACAAGATGATCCCCTCCTCCCCAAAATTGCATCATGTATTTGTTCATTTATCTTTTCAATCAATAGTCATTTATCAGGTGCATGTCAATTTAGGAGACACTAAGCTAGAGACACTTACACAGCATAGACGAGTGTTTTAAAAAGTGAAAATACTTTATACATTCATTGCTTCCTCACTGCACCGCTTTGACCCCACATAAGAAAGGTGTAACAGTTTCTCTTGGGTTTTGCTCATAGCTTCCCCAACAGATAAGAACGTTTTATTTCATTTAATTTCATTTTAAATTTATTACTTCATGAAAGTGAGATAAAATTTGCCTCATTATCATAAGAAATATGGAAATGAATACTGGACATTTTCTAAGCACATGCATAGTACAGTGGACTCACAGCTTCCACTCTGTGTTTCTCAGTGATGGAGGAGTTAGTGAGGTCTGTCCATCAGTGCCTGCCATGGGGAGGGTGAGGGGCAGGGTTCAGGCCTCACACTTGTAGCAGGCCTCATCCTATTCCAGATGTAATCTCCACATGCAGCCACAGCGAGAAGTTGCAGGGTTAAAAGATAATACCACTTGAATCCTTGAAAATAAACACTAAAAATATATCCAAATGTTTGACCGAGTTTGGTCATTTTTTCATTCTATTTTCTTCATTTTGGTCACTTCTTAATTTCGTTTAAGGCTCTCACTAAATTATTTGCATCTTGATCCTGGCTCAGTATTCTTATTTTCTCATTTTCAAGTGCCTTGTTTCCTAAAACCTTAAATGTCAAAGATCCCTGGAGGGACAGGTGGGGCTGAGGGGAGAAAGACAATATATAGAACTCTCAAAAATGTCTTTCAAAACAGTGTCATAAAAAACTTTTAAGACAGTATTTATTTACTTACAATTTATGCACCTCAAATCAAAGAAAACACAGTAGGGTGTCTCTTCCCTCAATGTGATTGTCCCCCTCCCCTTCCAAATGGCGTTAATTAAAAATGAAAAAATAGGATAGAATTCTGTGTTCTTCCTTCTTCCCAACTTGGTACCATAATTCACACGCTCCTCCTGCCCACCAAATTCATACCTTTTATCAGTCTTACAGGCGTAATTACAAGGAGAAAATTTCATTTAATTGTATTCATTTTATTTTAGAAAGGAGACTGAAACTTTGGAGGATATAAAAATATTTACAAAGCTATGAAGTATGTGCTTAAGTAAACTAATTTCACCAGTTCTCTTTATATTTTTTAAAATTTGAAAATAGTGAAAAAATATAAAAATAAAAATGTGCTATATTCTCACATTAAAAAAAAAAAATCCTATGAAAGGGAGAACTCAAAAATCTGTTCTCTAATACTCTGCCCTTGAGGTCACCACTGTTCAGAGCTTGATATTTGTTCTTCCCATGTTCTTCTTAGACTTACTGTGAAATGTGTATGGGCTTATCTTGTAAAAATAATATTGAGCACAGGGCTCATCCTTCCTTGTCTGGTACCTGGGGAGATTTGGGCAGGTGGAGAGACTGGTGTATGAGAAGGACCTGATAAGGAAGTGATTGGGCTCTGAATTGGTTGGTTTGCATTTGAAAGGTTTGCTAGCAGGAGAGTTGTTGACTTACTATCTCTAGAAATTAGTGAACCCTGTGAGGCAGGAGCAAGGCCCTGGAGGTCAAGCCTTCAGAATACAGAAAATCAAAAGACACAAGGTTAGTATAGCCTCATACCTGCTTTTTTAATTTAAAGAAACCCAGAGAATTTGCTTAAGTGTTTCAAGCTAACAAACATTTTATTCGTGTGGCATAAATAATATATGAACAGACTTTTATGAGTAATATAACATCTGCAGCTCTTAGAAAATAAAACATAGTTAATTAGAGAAGGCGTGAATTATGTAATCATTACTTTTATGTTTTGTTCTTTCTAGGTCATTCAAACTGTCATCCACACATGAATAACAATGAAATTCTCATGAAGAAGCAGAAATACCCAGGAGGCATGAAGAGTCATCATGCTTCAAAAGTGCATGTATTAGGACTTCATGACCTCAGGAAAAGTAGACCCCATAACTCTTAAAAGCTCAACCTTGGAAAGGAGAAACATGCTGTTTGATGACACAGCACTGAAACTTGTTGAAATATCCTTGGAGCTTGAGATGTTGAGAGCCATCAAAATGTTCTTAACAATTAAATTGAAAAATGTTTCTTCAAAATGTCTTAGCCAACCAAATACAAACATTTTTGTCATTGTGAAAAAAAAAAAAAAAAAAAAACTCGCCAATTGCCTTTGCTAGTCTCAGCACAGCCCAAGAGGAGCATCCTTCAGGAGCCAACCGAAAAACAGTGTGCAGTCTATGCTTCTGACCAGATGGGCTTCTCTTGTCACCATAACATTATGTATTAGGACTTCATGTATTATGTATTATGTCAACACTTTATTCATTATGCTGATCATACTCTGTATTTCACTTGCTCTGGTTATTTGTAAAGCTTTTCCTATTTCATCATTAGATTATCCTTAAATTTTAGCAACTGCATTTTAGTCACTCTGTATTCTTAACAGTGCCTGCCCAAGTGACATATTAATAAGCATTTTTTTCTGAATCAATAACCACCACCCAAAAAACTCTGCAGCCATAGTTGTAAATACTGTACATTCCAAAGAGAAGTGGAAATGAATGAAGGACCAATTTTGAGGAAGAATTAGAGTTCTCAAAAATTTAACAAGTATAATCAGGAAGTTTTTAAAAATTTAACAAATTCTACAAGTATGTCAACAAGTATTCAACAAGTTAGAGTTATAAACATTTGTTCAAAATTTTACACATGGTTAATACCTTCAGAGCAGTGAGTCAGCAGCAAGACTCTCATTTTTAAAACTTTACCCCTTTGTTCATTTTAAGGGTGGAGACCATTAAGGATGGAGACCATGTTGATGTCAGAACAATTGGTCCAGGGGTGTTTGAGGAGCCACTAGGAAGGGAGAAACAGGGAAATGTGGACCCAAGCAGCATAGTGTTCCCCAGAAAGTTGGGTTGGACACAAGTGTGTACATGCAGGAAAAAGTAAAACCACGAAGATGTGTTAATCTGAACAATGCTGTGAGCAAATGAGACACAGTTCTCCAGGGGACACTCTGAGAAATTACACAGAATGCACTTCAAAATTGTCCACCAGAAAGACAAATGAGAGGAAGGATGATCCATTGGCTCTCTTCTACCATTGGTCATGTTGGCCCAGAAGGTGTTCAAAATCTTGGACTTCAAAGATTGCATCTGCTTCAGAATGGCTGAGTAGTTTGCAGAAGGCATCTTAACAGATGGTAACAGAGAAGCAAGAGATAAGTGCTGCAACTGATGCAAGGTGCTGGCGGTGACACTATCACAAAGCTGGTTGCTGTAAAAATGTGGCCAAGAGGATGTGAGCTACAACACAAGAGTGGTTCAACATCAACTCTCAGAAGCACATGAGTCTCATGCAAATCTATTGTTCTTGAAATAATGAGCAAAGGACCATATTCATCCCTTTTGGGCAATAGTCAGAGAAAGGGGCACCCATAGAGAGAAAAGATCTGGTAATACTAGTTAGGGAGTGGAAGAAGCCAGTTGATATAGTTTGGCTGTGTTCCCACGCAGATTCTCATTTTGAATTGTAATCTGAATTGTAATTCCCATGTGTTGGAGCTGGGAACTGGTGGGAGGTAATTTATTCATGGGGTGGTTACCCTCATGCTGTTCTTATGATAGTGAGTTCTCACGAGATCTGATGGTTTTATAACAGGCTTTTCCCCATTTTGCGTGGCACTTCTCCTTGCTGCTGGCATGTGAAGAAGGACATGTTTGCTTCCCCTTCTGTCATGATCGTAAGTTTCCTGAGGCCTACCCAGCCATGCTGAACTGTGAGCCAACTAAACCTCTTTACTTTATAAATTACTCAGTCTCGGGTATGTCCTCATAGCAGAGTGAGAACAGACTAATGTACCAGGGTACAGAAGAAGCCTAAGACCAAACTGCACCTCTCTGTGCTTTAAACACAGACCAACACCTGGATGAGTGTTTTTCTTTTTCTTCTGTGCACATTTTTTTGTATTTGGCTGCTTTTTAACTTGCCAGCTCTGACAGAACAATGCCATCTCCGAGACACATAAATTAAGTTGCTTTTTATCTACACATAAATTAAGTTGCTTTATTGCTTTAGCTTCTCTGAGTTTTGTGCATTTTAGGGAGAGCTCTCAGCGTTTCCTGCTTACAGTCTTACTTTAGGCTCCTCCAAAAGCCAATCTTGAGAAAAGGATGTAGATACATGTATTTTATTTTATTTTTTAAGAGACAGGAGTCTTGCTATGTTGCCCAGGCTGGACTAGAACTCCTGGGTTCAAGTGATCCTCTCGCCTCAACCTCCTGTGTAGCTGGGAGTACAGATGCTTGTCACAATGCCCCAGGTAGTTTGAGAGGTGATCCCAGGAAGTGCAACAAGGGAGTGAGGAGTGAAGTAGAAAAGGGAAGACAGCCAATGAAAGGTGTGCACAAGGGAGCAGGTTACTGCTATCTCAAGCTTTCTGGGAGTGTGGCCCAAAGAGGGATAGGGAAGCTGGACTGTTTTTGCACCAGTTCCAGTTTCTCACTGGTTGAAAATTGCTGCTGGGGAAATTAAACCCATTACACTTCTAGGCTGCCCTGCATACAGGCAGAGCAAACTCCTCTAGTGCCAAGAAAGCCCCACAGGCAGAGAGGCATGGATGGTTGAGGTAGAAAGACATGGATGTGTCGCGCAACTGCAATGAATCCACACATTTGGCTGAGGGGTATAGATTGGGGCATCAGTTGCTTCTATGATACACTCTGAGATTATTTTGCAAAGGACAAAAATCCTTAAGCACGGAGAAAAACAATAGCAACAGCCTTCTTCTGGCGTCTAGAAGGAAAGAAGATAAGTTAATTAGTAAAAGGTTAGAGGCAGTTAAAATGAACTCTGAAACTGAGACTGTTTGTTAAACTTTGCAGACCAAATCTTTAAACTGGAATTGGATCCCTTTAATGAAAATCCCCTTTGCTGTTGCTGAAGAACAAATGAGGAAAGAAAAGAAACCAACATGTTTATTGCTTTCACCTATAAACCAAGAACCTCACTGAACTATGTTAAATAACAACAGTTTGGCTCTGTTTCTGTGAAGACCACATGGGGACTGATGGGTATTTTTAAATTTTCTCTTACTAGTCATTGTTCTGATTCATTACTAAGACGGAGCCACTCAAAGATGAGTGCTTTCTGATAGAAAAGTTGGGTGACAAAATATGAAAATGGGTCTTACACGCAGTGGATTTCACCAGGGTTGGAAGCATGGGCAGAGCAGAGAGAAACTAGAAAGGAAATACTCTCAGTGGTATCATAGATTTTTAAAATTCACCCCAATTCTTCATTTCCTCTTAATTAAGTTATAAATGCATACCTCTGTCTAGTGTACTGAGTGAACTTCCCCACCCGTTGATTCTAGATTTGGCCATCTAACTTACTTTGGAAAAGAAGTTGTTAGCAGCCATAGCATAACCTGTATGTTGGCTTATCTTCTTGGCAATCGTGATCATCCATGAAACGAACATGTCCCATGGGCTGCTATGTCTTCTCCTTTAGCCTAGGCCCTGGAAAGAAAAGTGGAGCGAACTTGAACCCATCATAGCCAAGAGCTTCAGTCTTGGGACATAAGTACGGAAATAGAGCTGCCCAATCAAGCGTATTCTAAATGAGTCAATAGCAGTCAACTCGAGAACCTAAGCATGAGAGCAGATGCTTACTATTGTAACCACTAAATTTGTGGGTGAATCTATAACGTAGCATTATAGCAGCAATAGTTGACTGATATAAGTGGTAGATTATTTTTCTTTTCTTGCCTATAGTTAGGGTGATAATTATAATAGGGGAATAAAGACTCTTGCTAAGACCAAGGGTTTACTGAGGAAATTAAAAAACATGAAATGATTAGGAAAGAGCCAAGGGGACGGGCTCCCTGGAGGGAATCTGCAGAGGATTCTGGGTCAAGTGACTGCTGTCCCAGTGACAAAATTCTGCCTCCTCACCAGTGATTGTGGATGATCTGAGTAGATGAAGACAATGGGGCTCTCCAAAATAATGTTCATCTGTATTCATTATTTTTTGTTTTTGATAAACATTACAGAATGTTTGGAAATAGTTAACACTCAGGTTTTGAAAAGGTGAGCTTTCCTGAGTATATAGGGGAGGTTCTCAAACGAAAAGATATTTTAATACCTTTTAAAATATTTAAACAAATCAGAGCTCCTTTATGCCAATACATCTCTGAAGAAAAGCTTATTCCAAATAGCTGTGCTATGAAGATAATGTGTACATAATATTATACTGACCTTTTGGACACAGAGGGATATACCTCGAATCTTTTCAAGTACAATAGAAAACTATTTAAATAATAAAGATTCAAGAGAGTCATACGAGTGTTTTGAATGTTTGCTTATTGAATTTCAATATACTTCAAATTAGAAAATCAACATTATTATTATTATTATTATTTTGAGACAGAGTCTCACTCTGTCTCCCAGGCTGGAGTGCAGTGGCATGATCTCGGCTCACTGTAACCTCCGCCACCCGGGTTCAAGCAATTTTTGTGCCTCCGCCTCCCAAGGAGCTGGAACTACAGGTGCCTGCCACCATGCCTGGCTAACTTTTTTGTATTTTTAGTAGAGATGGGGTTTTGCCATGTTAGCCAGGCTGATCTCAAACTCCTGACCTTAGGTGATCCCCCGGCCTTGGCCCCTCAAAGTGCTGGGATTACAGGCATGAGCCACCATGCCCAGCTTAGAAAATCAACATTATTGAAGAACTTGAGATGAAAATCAAAGATCTAGTCTTTGCATCCCCATATTCCCTAATTTGACAGCAAGTCTTACTGGTTTATGGGTAGGGATTTCTATAAAAATTTTAATGAATAAATAATCCCTTTGACATTTATAATCTATTCCAGAACACTAAAAAGATGAAAACCTTCCTAAATAATTACATGTGGCTTGACAAATGCTAATATTATGCCCAATAAAGAGAGCACCAGTAAAGAGAATAAACATTAAGCTCGATGCAAATAAAAATAATGAATAAAATATTTTCAAATTTATTGTGACAACATCTTAAAGTATTAACAATGCATGACGATCAAGGAAAGTTTACTGTAGGAATGCAAGAATGTTGTAGTAATAGGAAATGCATGCATGCTTAAAGCACTGGATTAACAGAATAAATGAGCAGAACATATACTATCTCAACAGTCGTTGGAAAAGTATTTGACAGACTATATTAGCCACCGCTGTCTAAAAAATTAAAAACTCTCAGGGAGTTGGGAAAAAGAGGACATTTCCTAAGTTTGACAGATTGCCTTCAAGAAAACTGTCAAACCAGTGATAAAATGTTACTTATTCTCATTAAAATCACAGGCAAGGCAATAATTCCACAAATCCCCATTATTCAAAATACTCCTGAGGGTCCTATAAAAAGAGACCAAAACATTGATAAATAC